TGGGCGGGTCTAGTATGTGCTAAAATAAAATTGATTGTGGTAAATGACACATCCTTTAAGAAAATAAAGGGTGGGTGGGGGGGCTAGTACTTGCTAAGATAAAACTGATTTTGGCAAACGACAATTCTTCTAAGAAAATAGAGGGCGGGTGGGCGGGGCTACTACTTGCTAAGATAAGACTGATTTTAAAATCACTGAATAATATTAAGAGTATTCACTGGAATGAAGAAGGAGTGGGTGGGCGGGACTATTGCTTGCTTATAAAAAATTCTGTAGGAAAAAAGCAAACTTAGCCCCGCCCACCCACCCGTTCTCTCATTTTTTTATATTATACATATATATTTTGATTAACAATTTACCATGCTTACAATAACTTTAAAACGTCTGCAAGACTTCAAAGTATTCAGCTTTGCAATTGTTGATTTAATCAATAAAATAAATTGACTCAGATATTAATTTTTTTGAGACAGCCTGTATAACCAAATCTAAAAAATATTAATGCAGTGATAAATCACAAGTATAGACCCATCATATTTTGCACATTTAAGACAAGATTTATTCAGCAATATTTTGAGGTGACGTCATCAATTTTTTAGGGGGGATGAGCGATACATTTTAAGCAAAAAATTACCATGCTCATGATAACTTTAAAATATTTCCAAGATTTCAAAGCATTCCGTTTTGCAGGTTCTGATTACGCATTCATTAATTTTTTTGAGTCAGCCTGTATAAATAAATCCAAAAAAATATGAATGGAATGTTAAATCACAAGTATAGATTCATCATATTGTGCACATTTTAAATAGAATTTATTCGGTAAGATTTTGAGATGACGTCATCAATTTTTGGGGGGATAAACAAATATATTTTGATTATAAATTCGCCATGCTTACGATAACTTTAAAATGTCTGCAAGTTTTCAAAATGTTCGGTTTTACAGATTCAAAATTAAATTGCAAAATATTGATATACAATTTTGATTTTTTTTTTTTCAAAAAATCTAGGTGTCTAGGATGTAAACTCAACACGGATTCACACACCACAAGTGCAGGAGTATCTTATTTTATAGAATTAAGAAAAATTATTAGTGTTAATTTTGAAGATGACGTCATCCTGTTGGTGATATTCCTAATAAATACACAAAATTTGACAAGAATCGGTTCGGTAGTTTTGGAAATGACGTGTCTGATATAAATGGATACAGACACCAGATAGACAGACACACAGACGGAAACTGGAGACCACTTTTTTCGTACTGTAGAGGTCATGACACGTCGAGAAAATATAAAAAGCTTACGCTCGGGAAGCAAAAATAGATCCCCGTCTGTCGTCTGTGTCGATTTTTATTAGACAGATAAGTTTTGAAACTACTAGATCGATTGTTATCAAATTCTTATATGTATATTGGAGGTATCATGCAGATGATAGAACACTAACCAAAATTTAGCTAATGATCTCCACTAACAATTTGATGACGCCTGCTTATTATATTGCGTAATTAACATTATCTAAATTTTATTAAATAATAAACTATTATATTTTGCCCATTTTGCTCCATTGTAGCTTAATAAATTAAGTTCGTCCAGTCCTCTATGTTGGAGAGATGCTTGTTATCGAAATGTGCTAATAGTCGAATTCTTTGGAAGTGTAAACATAAACCGTTGAAGTTACACATATATGTAGTAAGACATTGAGAAAATATGTTTTTCGCATTTCATTCAGTAATACACTAGATTTATGCACTTCAAATCGTACAGTAAAAACTCATTTTACTGAATAGCAAACCATTACTGCATAGCTACCATTACTGCATAGCAACCATTACTGCATAGCAACGTCAAATTCATTAAAACAATGACACAATATTATTTTTATTTCACTTACTCCCATTATAGAAATTAAAAATACAATTGTTTAAATTCGAAAAAGTTAAACCCCCCGATCTCACTATATCAATATGTTCTTGTCGCAAGTTGTCTTGGTTCACCACAATTCCTGTATTGTTTTCTTTTGACGTTCCCGGTACCCCGCTAAATATCCTCTTCGATGTTTTTATCTTATTGCCAATGCTTTCCTCAACATATTTTTCAGCCACACCACTTGATTCCCATCCCCCATGCCTTTTGAGCGTTTGAATATCGGCTCCACTATCCGCAAGAAACGTTGCAGATGTTCTTCTGAACGAATGTCCGGTGTAGCTAACAGCATCAGGGAGTTTCAAGTATTCGGCAATCTTTTGCGGCATTTTAGCAAAACTATGGATACCCACTGGTTGCACAGTGCATTTTCCATTAAGGTAAAAGAGGAAAAATCGATTGTGCTTGACTCCTTTCGGTCTTAGTTGCAAATATTTCTTGTAAATCTCATATCCGTTACACTCTGATCCCACAGCAAACATTCGTTTCTTCTTTGTTTTGGTATCGTGTAAAGTTACGACCAACATACTTCCGGTGTCTTCTATGTCTTCTACTGTTAAATTACATAACGTCGACATGCACCATTTAGCGCAAAAACTAGCACCACTTTGATTAACAAGAAAGTTTCATCTGGTGCATCATTCAAAAATTTTGTGATGTTTTCTATGGTCAAAACTTTTGACTTTTTTGGCAAATAAGTATCGTTTTGACGTTTCAGGAAAGCAATTAGCTTCTTGTGTTGTGATATATCAATATTTTCATTGACTTGGATGGTACTTTTTAACATTGAGTATGTAGACCATAAGCTGGATGCCTTAAGGACTTTTGCCTAAAACAATTAATGAAGAAACATGATTACTGATATTAAATACCTTACCTTTTCATAAAAATACGCCAGCATCACATTTTCGTCAAGGTTCTTCACTTTTTTCGCTTCCCGCCACTGGCAAAATACTCCATACGTCTTCTCGTATTTTTCCTTTGATTTCGCAGGGAGCAGACTCGTGCAAGCTTCGCGGGCAGCATTCAAAATATCCTCACTTACGGGAATATTCCGTGAATCCATTTCTGATTTAGTTTAAAATTTTTTGACTGTTGTTGTATGCGAAAAACAAGTTCTGCTTGGTTGCTACGTTATTGAAAAGCGTTACCTACTATTATTTTTTATTCGTACTTAAATTTTACATAATATTTAAAATTATTAACGCAAATAATATCTGGTTATGAAATGCGAAAAAATAGTATACGCGCCTCGATAGAAAAGTCTTTTCACAACTCGCATGGTTTTTAAGTTACTCGTTCGCTTCGCTCACTCGTACTCAAACGAACCATACTCGTTTGGTAAAACTTCACTTTTCTATACTTGGCACGTAATGTACTATTTCCCGTTCGTTATTTGTTTGAAGTGTATTGCATATTTTGCGCCTGACGTTATTTACACCACTGTTTTTTTTTCACACAGTGTTACCGCTATTGTCTATATATTTTTTATGTATAGAGGTTATCACAAATGAAATGTCGTAAAATCAAATCGTTTAATTTTTCAAACAACGAGGATTTGCCCGACTTTACTTCGGAAACGAAGGAACTTCTGTCGAAATTACTTCGACTAAATTTTTATATTGAGTGGGGGGTGGGGGGATTACTGAGTTATTGTTAAATCGTTACCGACTTTCATTCGATTTCAATATGTTCCGGACACATATAAAAAAATTATTATCTTATCTTCGCATGACACGTAAAGTTGCCAAGAATTTTCTTTGTTTAAAAAGAATGTGTATAAACTGTACCACATAATTTTATTTAATTTAATCATCAACGCAGAATGTTGACACCTTTTTAATAAAATTAGATCTGATGATGATGAATAGATGATATTGCATATTATATTTTCAAAAACGAAGTTTTTATTTAGGCAATTTTGATAAATCTGTTCGCTTTTGAAACCTTTGTGTCTCGAAAATTTCACTAAAATCAAATAAATTGTTTCTGGGGTATATACATAATTGGTAATGATTGAAAAATATAGTCATTAAAAAAATGGTATGTAAATTTTAAAAATTTGTTTAACAATATTCATTTTCATGTAGGTATACGATACACTAAACATAACCCCAGCGTCTTTAAAACTTTAACGGAATTAATTGTATGAACCGCTTTTGATATAATGGGTCAAATAAATCGACTTATTGCACAAATCGTGTCAGCAGTCCTAAAAAAGATAACTTAATATTGTTAGCACTATCAACAGCGCTATTCAGGCGAATTTTCTCCGCGAGAATTGATATTTTAAGATGACGTCATAAGCTTCCTAGTGAAGACGTATTAGTTGTATATCACGTAACATTAAATATAACGTTATCGAGTTCCCGAAAATTCGCTTTTTTTTTGAGACAAAAAAACTTGCTGACGCAATTGAACTTTTTGTGGCCGACGTCATCAATTTTCAACAGAAGGAGTGTTATCCCTATTTAGACCAATTTCATGTCTCATACATTTAGATATCACATTAAAAAATAATTTGAAAACACTTATAAAATTTGAGTGTAATCGGTCCGGTAGTTCATATCTTTCAAACAAAGTGGTGCAAAGAAATTCGTCACATTCACCCTATAGCAATAGTTTCTTTAGCTATCCTTCGAGGAAGTGGAAACTTCCCCGAAAGAATTTTGGCACCTCAAACCGGTACATCTCATTTGCCCGCCCCTGTTAATCCGGAATTTTACCTGCACCACCCCAGGAAATTACCCCTAATAACGTGCAACAGGTCCTACTTTTCCACCCCTTGCCATCGCAGAAATGAGCGATTTATGGCAATACATCATCCCGATCTCTCTCCAAGTGAATCCGAGTGGAAAAGCTTTATTTATATATTTTCCTCGTACACAAACGCACAGTCGGGTGGATCCCAAGGCTCAACTCCTTCACAAATCCCCATAATGTGGATATATATTCATATGAGGAGCAAGATTTGGAGAAATTCTGGAGTATGCATGAAAATTACACATGACATCCTTGAAAATGGGAGGGATAATAGAATGTAACAAATTCAACTGGTAGAAGCAGACGCAGACCAGTGTCGAACGTTCAATCGCAGCGAGAAGGTTGTTACGATGGAAGTGGTGGTGGTTTGACAGCGCGTGTTCTTTCAGCATTTTCAGAGCACTGAAACCTACCATTGACTGAAAACTGTACCATTTCCGACCGACTAGGAATATTTCTGTACACATAAAGTGAGTCGACTTTCTATCAATTTTCTCGCTGCAACAATGCGTTTTTTTTTCACAATGCGGAGGTTATCGTGCAATTAAATTTAATTAAAATTTAATTAAATGGGAAGATTTCATTCAATGCGAATAAAAAATCGAACGATAGTGCTGAAACCCGATCTAAATTTACTGACCCTCGCCTGTGAAAACAGAAATTACTCGGAAGTGTTTGTTTTTGTTGCATGTGCATTTGCGAAAGAGGGTTTTCCGAAAACTGGAAAACCATCATCGATGGGTTTGTTTGCACAGGGCACCATCCGTGTAATGATAAATCGAGAATAAAATTGTGAGGTCATGCCATCTGACCAGTCTAATCTCGAAACTGACTTCATTCAGGTCGGGTCATCATTTTTAAACTTTCAAAAAATCGAAAATACGCTCACTAAAGTTTTAACTTTGAAAACTCCCAAATTTCAATGCGCCCTATTTCTCGCCAAATAAATTAGTTCCGAGGCGAGACGTGAGCTCGCAAGGAGACGAAATTTATGAAAGAATCCTTTTAAACTACTTTGTTTCCTTGTCCTGCCTTACTATTTTCTCTGCTGTGCTTCGTTTTATTATCGCGTCGTTATTTTTTATCTCCATGTTCTTCACGTTATGAAGTGATTATTTAAATCGCTTCCAGTAATCTCGTAGATTTGCTAGTTTACTTCGTGTGGGAGTGCTGAATTTAAAATGTATTTTTCTTTTGTTAAAAATTTATTGATTGACTTTCTTATGCAAATTGCCAGCATTTCATTATAAGTGAATTTGAATTTGAGGTTTGGAAATGAATATTTTGTTGTAAATCTGATCGCATTTGCTGATTTTTTTTTTCAAGAGAACGGCGCGAGTTTTTCCAACCGCAAGAGAATGTGATTATCTACAGGATGTCTCATTAAAGTTTCATTTTCTTTGTTGAGGTGCTGACACGGAAAGGGGCAGCACGCTCCTTTTACAGCAATTAAAGGAAGGCCTTTTTATTTTTACTATTGTTCTGCATATACTTGCTGGGCTAGCAATGGAAAATGAATTTAATAAGACAGGCAGCAAATCCAAGTAATTAAAATTATTAATTAAACATACGCTAAATAAACCACGACAAATTTGGTAAATTGATTTTAATGTAATTAGCGTAATAGCGTAATTAGCGAAATAAATGTAGATATTTTCATAAATATTCGTGAATATGTATATTTCAATGAACGCTATTTAACGAGATGTATTTCTTGTTTCAAATGTAACTGTTCTCTTTTATTTTTACACAATTCTTGTAACTTGGAAATCTAATAGATGTCCGAACAAAACTAGATACCTCATGTCAGAGCTTAAAATAAATTATAAAAAATTTAACAACAAAAGCAGAATGTTTATTAATGCTTGAATTTGTTTTATAAGTAAGCTACTAGAATTTCTGGTGAAATAAAAACCAGATATGAGCAATATAATTTCGTTTTATAATGAATTGTCAACGATTTAGGAAAGTCCGAAATGTGTTAAAATGTCTATTACTTTAACTTTTTTCACAAATTTTGAATTGATGCCATAAAATTTGGAATCCTGAGACTGTTTGGTTAATTAAAGATTTAGCAAAGAAGTGTGAAAAATTATCAGCTTTCTTTAGTACAAGAAATAGAAGATGTAAATGTGGTGTTTTATTTTCATGACAAAATTGTATGTACCTTGTATGAAAAAATATCTGGTACGTTTCGCATAGTTGTGTGAGTTTTATTGTTATTGTTATTTTAGTAGACAGTAAATTTTCAACTCTATAATATCGGATTATTATATTATCATATTATTTTTTCTAGTTTTTCTTTTAACTGACAGTAGTAAAACTGTAAAATACTGTCAATATTTTTAATTTCTACACGTTTTGAAAATATAAAAAAAAAATGCGAACTGTTACTAAAATTATTCAGATTTAAGTGTGTTAAATCAATAATTGGGTCGTCAAAAATTCAAAACGGTAAAACAGAAATTATAAAATAAGCTATATAATACAATAGGACTAGTCACTCAGAAAACATCATTAAGATCCGGTAGTTTTGCAGATGTCAACATAATCATTTTGTTATTTTAATTTGCTGTGTCAATTATTTTTCACCCGTTTAATAAAACGTTAGAATAAATATATTTATTTTTTATCAGTACGATAATTTATCTTAAATAAAAATATTCAACGTCATCTGTGGCATTGATTTAACTAAAACAATCCACATTTCGAACGCAAATATTTTCCTAGCGTTTCTGCTTTGAAAAAATTCTAAAAAGCAGAAACTGTACTTAATTATGGCATATGTGAATACGAATTCACGATACGCTAATGACTGCAGATTGACGTCTTACACTTAGAACAAACACCTGAAAGAATCTTTCACTGTTATACGTCCACAAGAACGGTATTGAAGATATCATTACGCAACTGTTGATAAAAACACGCCGTACCTATCATTTCTATTCAAAATTACAGCACCGGAATACTTTTAATATCCGTCTTAATTCATAAATTTTTAACTAATTGATTACCTGTAACGCCGACATTCATTTTCCATTGGCACTAATTAACGGATTGCGTGATTTGGACCTGAATTTAATCACCTAGTGTATTCAAAACATGTCCCTCAGCCATTTAATTTATTTTCATAGGTATAAAAATTATTATCGTCGGGTAGTGACAGTTAAATGCACGAACCCGGTATTAACGTTCAAGATTTTTAAGGATCGAGAATAATTTTCACGTGTTAACGTAACCGAAACGAAAATAAGTTATTTGTATTAAAGTAGGCGCTGACTTTGCCGCCTCGTCGATAACAGGACATATAATAATGATTGTAGTAAGGGTCACCATGGAGATAGATTGGGTATTTTAATTTGTGTTTTTACGCAAAATAAATAAAAGTTTTATTATTATTAATAAATTGCTCTTTTGGAAGTTGGAAGTTCTGCAACCAAAATTACATAACGTCGTAACAGCAGAGGTCGAAAATACTGCATTATCCTTAAAGAAATCGAACGAGTAAACCAGGATTATCCGCATTTGTTTTGACGTAAACTGTCTAGTGTACTTTCTTGATATGGTGTGGGCGGCGGCCGACCGGAGGCGGTTAACCCTCCGAAGACAAAAACGGTCCGTCTATTCGACAAAAAAGCCAAGTTGTTTACATTTTTATATCAGGCGGAATGTCCACATCTTGCTAACTCACGTTGTTTAATACATATCCTCCGATGAGATGAAATTATTATTTGGCGGTAGCGCAGCAATTTAAGCAGAAAAGTTCTTGTTTCGACTTGAACCGCGACCTCCGATATTATTGAGTGCCACCTTTTAATCGAAATGGGATGAATCAGCCTTGTGATTTTATTCACGGAGAACAAAGAAGGAAATTTCGTTCAGTCATCCTAAACGAAATGCTTCGTTTATTCGTAATTTAAAAAGATAAATTTTTCGAGAGGCCGGCGATTTCGTGATGCAACAAACTGGTTTAACTTAGCAATTTTCTATTCTTCACGATTTTCGACTTTCATCTGATAAGAGTCGAAGGTGACTGGGGTATTTCGGTAACACTTTTCACGCTCATTATTTCTTTCGTTTCGATTAGGTGGAATTGATACAAGGATCATTGATGCCGATCGACTATCCTTGGCTTTTTAACTCTGCTAAATAATTTGAGGCTAAGGGAGTCGAGAGCAATTATCTTGTAGTTACAAGTTGTTAGAGAAATTTGTACATGGTGCTTTAGGTTGGTAATTTTCAACATCACACGTCGGCTGTGTTTATTGAAGCAGAGTGTTATGACTAGGATTGCGTAAGGTTACAAAATTGTATGTGTAACGTGAGGCTATAATTTAGTCTGCAAAGAAATCCAATAAACATGTTGTACATCTTTATTAGCACGTCTTATATCCGCAAACAATGCTAAAATACGCCGGCTTGACGAAAAGGGCGCAGCTTCGAAAACCCTCAACAACAATAATTGCCGCCTTGTCGGAATAACGATTATAATTGTGCATTTACCGACGAAGTTGTTTATTATTTTTTTTTTTTAGAGGGACGCAAATTTCCGGGTGGTTATTTATAACACTTCCTTAAACAAAGTGTAATAATCATCCAGAACTATGCAACACTTAATACACTCGGAACGGACACGTCAATCATTTACTCTTTTTCCATCTTCGATTAAAACACGAGAAATTTGAGATGCAGCTACTTAATGAAGATGGCGCCTCCAATGTCGAAACGTTGCTCCAGTGGCGTGCAGCCACCGTGAATAATTAAAGAGATGGACAGATAGACGATTCGAACAAAGTGCCAGTAATAGCAATGTACAAAGTCATAATACTAATGAAAACGAGTAATATAAATCACTCTGTGTTAGATACACATTACGCAACCTACTGGCCAGATATGTAGTTTTCAACTCCTCGGCTATGATTTATTGAAGAGCCTTCATCCGTACGGATTTTTTAGTGGAGGCTAGGCTTAATCCATCAACTTTGTACGAGATTAGCCTAACCGATAATTGAATGCTCACTTGCAGCAACTAATTTATTTTTTGTATTGTTGGTGGAGCGTTCTCGTTACCCACTTTTAGCACTTAAACAGATCGTAAAAGTTATCATCGGATGAAAATTCAAATATTTACCTCTAGACTCAATAAAAACGCAACGTAACGGACTTGAGACTATTAATTAATATTTACAGCGATTGTTTATAGAAGTGGAAGTTTTTTCTAGGAGAGTTGGATCAGAAAGTTGACTGGTGGACAGAACGAATTTAACACAGTTTTTTGATTATTGTGTATATTACACTATATATAGCTTCATTTTACTCCACATTTCCACTATAACTAATATTAAATAAAAAGCAATAAACAGTGTTTATAAAATTATTGTCCCGGCAAAGTACAAAGGAGGCATTGATTCGCCGCCTTGTAGAAACAGGCTTATTGTCAAATTGATTTTACAGACCAATTTACAGTGCGTAGTATGTGCCATTTTAAAGATAAGCGGCAAATCGAAGAGTTTTAAATTTTCAGTTGTTAACTGGTGCGATATTCATTCATTCAGAGATAATCTCTATTTTAATTCAGATGTTTACTGCGTACAAGTTTAGCTTGACCAAGTTTTTTTAAGTTTATTTTATTGTACTTGCAATAATTGCGTTGTTTTTATTGTTGCAGTATGGAGAAAAGGTTGAGGTTTATCAGACTAGCCAGCTTCGTCCTAATCGTGGGAATCAGCGGCGTGAAGACAGAATATGGCATAGACGGAATAGGTGAGCATTTATTTTTATTCTTATGTCGTTATCGTAAAAAATGAATGAATCCTGTCTACGTAAATTCCGTGATAAAAGGTCACAGGGGCTATCAATATTCCAAGAAATCGTTTTAATTACATATTGTGAAGAAAATGATTGACATAAATCACATGTTTTGGAAAAATGAACATTTCGACTAGTTCTAGACTTCATATATATATCATGTTTTTGCAACAAATGTCAGACACGGTTCAAATCGCTGAACTTTGGGTACATAAGTTGCAACCTCCAGACGAGACTCTTAAAACTGACTTTATTATGTGTGCATATTCTTTTATTATCATATTATGTCTATTTACTTTTTAGTTCGTCGCGATTACCTAAATGTTTGCAATTTAGGTTTAAATCGTCTCTGTGATATCTTCCGATGTTTATCTTTATGTCCTCCACTACATAGTCTGGTTGCACTAGATCAAGCCCCCGGAATAAACGATCTCTTTATTGCCTAGAAGAAAACATTGTTTATATAGAGCTTGTAGCAATTACATTTTTCTTAAAGGCACATTTAAGTCACCCGGACTATAAAACTTAATATTGTTATGTTAAACTAACCAGAAATGTGTTCGATTCCAGGAGCAGTATTTACAATGAACCGAGTACTATGCAAATTAATTGGTTTCAGTTCAGCTTTAAAATAACACTTTTTTTCGCCTTTGTCAACGCGTGGATCAGTTGTACCAACAAAACGTAATTAATTCTCAGAAGCGATTTTCACCTCGGCCAATTCGAGCTTGCGTTTTGAGCCGAGCTTTAAGTGCATTCCAAACACAATCAGTGCAAATTCATAGAACGACAGTGACGTAAAATTTGAAGACGATTCTCGTTCCAATGAAACTTTCAAAACATCTTCATTTCTAGTACCCAAGCAATTAACGTGTAACGCGATATTTTGTTAATGGCAAGGTCTGTTCCTCGGTAACGTGAATACGTTAATTTTGTGCATATTTTACAATGCAATCGTGGGCCGATCCCTCCTATTATCTGATGCTAACGACACCATATTCTAATTTAAATTGAATTAAATCAAACTATTTTTATGGCTGTTGGCACACCTGCAGCGAAGCACGCGTGCTGGCCAAGTGAAAGTTACAAGATTTTTTGAACGACTAATGAAGATGGAAAGAAAAAATCTAAATTGGTCCAAATCACACAGGTAAAAATGGCAATTACACGCCCGGCTGAATAACCCTCTTTTAATGAATTCGTTCTGGGAAGGAGACAGTGACGGCGCAGCGACCCGCAATGACACTTTTACTATAATTGAAAAATAATTCCTAAACGTAAATACTCGAGTTCCTTGTTTATATAGAAATATATTAAAACTATCTCCGGAATTGGACCGATATGAAAACACTGTATGTGTATTATTGAGCAAAATTCTTTAAAACCCACGCCACTGCACAAACTATTGTTTGTGTTCTAAAATTTACATTAGCAGTTTTAATTAGAATTTTAGGTTAAGTGATGTTTTAGTTTCGAACCCCTTCTGCTCGCCGCCGCTGCCAGTCTCACAAATTGCCCATTTACCATCGCGCCCATCGCTTGACTTTTGTTCCTGACGGTGGATAATCATTACATGGTTTTCGCATTTAACCCATGGCTATAGAAATACTTAAAATTCTTCGGATGCCGTCCTCTCGCGCATAAATATTTGCTCATTGTTTTATTAGTTTTGCCATCTGATATTTATTCAATCGAGCGTTTTAACGAGCGAAAATCGCTTATCGTGTCCTCGGGGTGCTCGTGATGTGGCATAACCATAAAATGGTGTTTTTGCCATCGATGGGCAAAAAAACCAGCGCTTGAAGCAACGTCATTGTTAAAATAATGAAATTATTGTCTTGGTTTGTGTTCGGGACTTAATTATCGTAAGAAAACATGTGTATTTTGAGGGAATAGTATGTTGTGGATTTTTACGGCATTCTTTTTTGATAGCAGTGGTCCTGCCGATGGTATGTCTTATTTATGGTCGATATTATGCGTATTTTGCGTTTTTATTGTATCGAAATTTCGGGATTATATTTATGGCCTAATCAAATATTTAATTGCTGGGTATGGATTTGCATTTTACACAAGAAAATACCGAACGGCACATGGTACGTTTATTGCTGGTTCGGTGACGGCTTGAATTTATACTGCGTGTATGTTTTATTAATTTTGTTAATTGTGGAATAAATTTATTGGCGGTTTCGGGCACTTTTTAGCGGAAAGTTATTAATTAAATTAACTGGAAAATAATAAAAATTCTGTGGACATTACAGTTACACCAGTTGTCAGTGCTAAAATTCCATGAAGCGTTAATTGTTTTTGAAACCATAATTAATAAATTTTATTAAAACAGTAGTTAAGATACCAATGCACCACACAGATAATAGAACGTGCCATGACCTGCGATAATTTCCGCAAGAAACAAAGACTTGTTATCAGCGATAACTCTTCAGTGTAATGTAAGAGCACCGACAGTATTCATTTAATTTTCTCGAGATAGCTAAATGAAATACAAACAGATAGTGTTCGTTAAACAATAATCAACAGAGGTGATTTCAAAGCAAGCCGCCGCCAAGACACAAACCTACCTACATTACTCGAGAGATCCAGAGTTAATTTCTGAAATAGTTAGATTTCCTCACTTTGCAAAAAATAACCAGCTCGCTGACAAGTTCGCGATTTTTTCTAATTTATCGTTCAAACATTCCCTTTCACTTTCAGTTAAAACTCCATTCTTTGAAATTTGTTTTGGTCATGTTATCTTTCTGAGCCACTAATTAGGTACACCATTAATTAAATAACTAAAAAAGCCGCTCATATTTTTCTTTGTGAAGCTTGAGTTATCGTGCTTGATATAAATTGGAAAAATTGGAACGGGTTTCGTAATTTTGTCCGGTGGTTTACATCATAATCCAAAGTACGTCCTGCAACACTTATTTGTTAGGAGTGTTAAAAAGTGGAAGATAAGGTGTATGAAAGGCAGCGTTATGAAATTTTTGATGTATGTGGTGGAGGTTTATTATGAGATCGGAGCTGTAAGTGCTGAAAGATTTATTTAGAAATTTGTTTTCGTCGTTACATGATAAATGAAGGCGATAATTTAGAAAAATTAGTTGTAAATTAGTTAATGCTAATTTGGTTTTTTGTTTGGCATAAAAAAGTACAACAAAACAACTTTCACCAGGAGCACATATTCACCTGATTTTATTTGTAGGCTGAAAATAATGGTAGCAGAAATATAGAACGACGTTCTTAATTAGCGACGAAGATTTAACATTTCGTGGTAGACGTGTGACATCATTCTAAATTTCAGAATAGGTGACACAAAAAAAAGCAAGGACAAAGTCTTATTTTGATTTTGGGTCTTTTGGTTTTTCAAAGTCTGTATACATTTTTCTTTAAATTTGCTTCATTTAATTGTCGCCTGTTTTGTTTTAAAGCGTCCTTTATTATCGTTTTTGTCCCAGTTCTGACATTTCCGGTTGGTGCCAAAACTGGCGGGAATTTCGAACCGTCCATGGCATTGACTTTTAAAGTTTTGCATTTAAATTGATGCATACTGGGCGAGTGGGCGAACACGGACAAGGTTACAAGACGCTGGAAAAAAGTCGAAAATATTTATCAAATATGCGCATAAAAAATCAATCAAATATTGTATCCCGAAGAAAACTTGTGTTAGAATTTAAATAATATACGGTCGTTTACATATGAGATAAAAACTTAATTTATGAAGTTACTTCGTTGTGATATAATTGTGCCGGATACATTAAGTTTGATGTAGTTCGAAACCTATATAGATATCAGTGATAAATTATAGGTCTCCAGGTTTGAAGACAAAAATTTGACCAAAGTATGTTGCAAACTAATTTTTCAAAAGCTATCTTTTCGTTATCGCTTCATTAACACTTCACGTGTTGCTATAATGGTAATTAAAATGATTAGGAAGGAACTTTGGAGTTTGGGCTAAAAAGTGTCTAAGGTTATAGAGTGCACTTGTGTGATTTGAGGTAGAAAACAACAAAAGTTCCCGATAGCTTTTGACCACAGTGTCAATTTATCCGAGTTTGATGAGACCGCAACTGGACATCTGTTCCTACAGAATTGTGATAAACTCCAGCGCGTCCACCAGATTTGTCACTCACTTATCTTGCTGTGTAACATTTTTAGTGTGAAAAATTCGGTCCCCTCTAGCTCCATATTTACATATTAGGGTACCCATTACTTGCGCAATTCCCCCGCAAAACCCTGATTTATTAGCAAATAAGAGAAAAATTCGAAAACCAGTAAAATCACCGTCCTCGTACATAAATATCATGTTTTGATACCTCATGATAAGACTTCCATCAGGAGATAAATCAATGTAGCACCTGAGTATGTTATTAGTGTCTGTAAACTAACTCGCATAGAATGGAAGTATGCCAACGTACCGCGTAATTATGCAAATATCCCGCATTTTCTCCTTACCACTTGACAACTATTACTTATAATTCGCGTTACACCTGAAATGCCCATACTATCAGCGTACACCATCTCGTGCACTTAATTCGCTAATTTGAAGCTGAAAGCAGCCAACAATGCACCCTGATTTATACCCACGTGAAAAAAGGCACTAACAACTTCATAAATTTGCACAACACTTGATCAATAAGTTTCAACCGTCCTGAAAACTTGCGACTAATAAATCATCGAGATTATTATAAATATGCTGTAATTCAGTGTTTATCCCTGTCAATCGTTGGGTGACGTCACTGAGAATATTAAAAAACGAATCTCTTCTGAAAATTCCGTGGCATTTTGTTGTACGGGACGTTTTTCGACGTAAATTTGTCAAATTCGCAATCACTGCTACTATTTACACATGTAACTAAAATGTAACTGGGCCGGTCCTGGCCTGATTCGGTCCCACGAGAAAGGTAATCACGTCGTGATATAAAACAAACACAAGGTGTGTCCCGGTCGGCAACTCAGGT